CCGATACACTCCGATCGGTGTATAGACACCGATACACTCCGATCGGTGTATAGACACCGATACACTCCGATCGGTGTATAGACACCGATACACTCCGTCGGTGTATAGACACCGATACACTCCGATCGGTGTATAGACAACCGATACACTCCGATCGGTGTATAGAACACCGATACACCCGATCGGTGTATAGACACCGATACACTCCGCTCGGTGTATATGACACCCGATACACTCCGATCGGTTATAGACACCGATACACCCCGCTCGGTGTATAGACACCGATACACCCCGCTCGGTGTATAGACACCGATACACCCCGCTCGGTGTATAGACACCGATACACCCCGCTCGGGTGTATAGACACTGATACACCCCGCTCGTGTGTAATAGACACCGATACACCCCGCTCGGTGTATAGACACCGATACACTCCGATCGGTGTATAGACACCGATACACCCCACTCGGTGTATAGACACCGATACACCCCACTCGGTGTATAGACACCGATACACCCCACTCGGTGTATAGACACCGATACACCCCACTCGGTGTATAGACACCGATACACCCCACTCGGTGTATAGACACCGATACACCCCACTCGGTGTATAGACACCGATACACCCCACTCGGTGTATAGACACCGACTACACCCCACTCGGTGTATAGACACCGATACACCCCACTCGGTGTATAGACACCGACACACCCCACTCGGTGTATAGACACCGACACACCCCACTCGGTGTATAGACACCGACACACCCCACTCGGTGTATAAACACCGACACACCCCACTCGGTGTATAAACACCGACACACCCCACTCGGTGTATAAACACCGACACACACCCCACTCGGTGTATAAACACGACACACCCCACTCGGTGTATAAACACCGACACACCCCCTCGGTGTATAAACACCGACACACCCCACTCGTGTATAAACACCGACACACCCCACTCGGTGTATAAACACCGACACACCCCACTCGGTGTATAAACACCGACACACCCACTCGGTGTATAAACACCGACAACACCCCACTCGGTGTATAAACACCGACACACCCCACTCGGTGTATAAACACCGACACACACCCCCACTCGGTGTATAAACACGACACATCCCCACTCGGTGTAATAAACACCGACACACCCCACTCGGTGTATAAACACCGACACACCCCACTCGGTGTATAAACACCGACACAACCCCACTCGGTGTATAAACACCGACACACCCCACTCGGTGTATAAACACCGACACACCCCACTCGGTGTATAAACACCGACACACCCCACTCGGTGTATAAACACCGACACACCCCACTCGGTGTATAAACACCGACACACCCCACTCGGTGTTATAACACCGACACAAACCCCACTCGGTGTATAAAACACCGACACACCCCACTCGGTGTATAAACACCGACACACCCCACTCGGTGTATAAAACACCGACACACCCCACTCGGTGTATAAACACCGACAACACCCCACTCGGTGTATAAAACACCGACACACCCACTCGGTGTATAAACACCGACACACCCCACTCGGTGTATAAACACCGACACACCCCACTCGTGTATAAACACCGGACACACCCCACTCGGTGTAAAACACCGACACACCCCACTCGGTGTATAAACACCGACACAACCCCCCCACTCGGTGTAATAAACACCGACACACCCCACTCGGTGTATAAACACCGACACACCCCACTCGGTGTATAAACACCGACACACCCCACTCGGTGTATAAACACCGACACACCCCACTCGGTGTATAAACACCGATACACCCCACTCGGTGTATAAACACCGACACACCCCACTCGGTGTATAAACACCGATACACCCCACTCGGTGTATAAACACCGACACACCCCACTCGGTGTATAAACACCGATAAACCCCACTCGGTGTATAAAAACACCGATACACCCCACTCGGTGTATAAACACCGATACACCCCACTCGGTGTATAAACACCGATACACCCCACTCGGTGTATAAACACCGATACACCCCACTCGGTGTATAAACACTGATAGATACACTCCACTCGGTGTATAAACACCGATACACCCCACTCGGTGTATAAACACCGATACAACCCCACTCGGTGTATAACAGACAACTCGGTTATAAACATGATAGATACACTCCACTCGGTGTATAAACACTGATAGATACACTCCACTAGGTGTATAAACACTGATAGATACACTCCACTCGGTGTATAAACACTGATAGATACATTCCACTCGGTGTATAAACACTGATTGATACACTTCACTCGGTGCATAAACACCGATAGATCCACTCCACTCGGTGTATAAACACTGATACACTCCACTAGGTGTATAAACACTGATAGATACACTCCACTCGGTGTATAAACACTGATAGATACACTCCTCTCGGTGTATAAACACTGATTGATACACTTCACTCGGTGCATAAACACTGATAGATACACTCCAATCGGTGTATAAACACTGATACACTCCACTCGGTGTATAAACACTGATAGATACACTCCACTCGGTGTATAAACACTGATTGATACACTTCACTCGGTGCATAAACACCGATAGATCCACTCCACTCGGTGTATAAACACTGATAGATACACTCCACTCGGTGTATAAACACTGATACACTCCACTCGGTGTATAAACACTGATACACTCCACTCGGTGTATAAACACTGATAGATACACTCCACTCGGTGTATATACACTGACAGATACACTCCACTCGTTGTATATACACTTTTAGATACACTCCACTTGGTGTAAGTAACGTAGATTCTTAATGTAGATCAGAGCAGCGTGATGATCCTCGCTGAGACACTTGCTCAACCCTGGGTACTGATGATTATTAGGGACTGACACACTGTATTTCGCAGCTCCGAAGCTGTTCATGAAGTATCTCAGCAACTCAAGTTCACCCTCCTCCCCCCCCCTCTCTGTCTCTCTCTCTCTCTCTCTTTCTCTCTAGACACTTGTTACCGAAAATATTAGTCATTATCACGCTAGGTATTAGTTATCATGAACCGGATCTATACACCGAGATGTGTATTTCTCTCAGCGTAAATGCTGAGAGTTTGCTTTCATCCCTATTTCAGAGATCAAAATATTCTTGTGTGGTGGTGAATAGGTTACAGGCAGCCTTAATGACCCAAGTATAGTTGATAGGCTTAAAACCCCATTAAGTAACCAACCAACCTAACATTCACGTGTTCATGCAACATGACTGCAGGTCAAGAAGACTTCCAAATGAATTTGTTTTATATTGGAGATTAAGATTGCTTCACCTGTGAATGATTCAATATTTTTCCATTCCACAGTAAAGTTGGTTGCTCCTAATTATACGTGGAGAAAATATGCACGATACGTTGATATGTGTGTGTATGGTGTTAGTATGTGTGTGTATGGTGTTAGTATGTGTGTGTATGGTGTTAGTATGTGTGTGTATGGTGTTAGTATGTGTGTGTATGGTTTTAGTTAAGTGATTATACGAGAACACACACTGCGTGCACCAGGCTCATTTTACACTTCATTAATTTCTGTTAAACGAGACCACTTACAGCAGAAGTTCATTGTGTGTACCATTTTACACTTCATTAACTGTTGTTAAACGAGAGTATTTACAGCGGAGTTTCAATGTACCAGGCTCATTTTACGCTTCATTACTTACTATTAAACGAGAACACTTACAACAGAGCTTCAGTGTGTACAACAGGCTCATTTTACACTTTATTAATTTCTATTAAATGAGCAGAGGTTATTACGGGCACCAGGAGGAGAGACAGTTAAAATGGCAGATTTACACGTACAACAAGATATTACTGCCTTAAATGTACGCCTTGATACCCTGAAGAAGAAACGACTCTATGCAATGCAAGAACTCTACATGCCAGATAGAGAACATCCTCTCCAAGTTGAAAATACCACGGATTATATCATCAATACTCCTCCTCAGAGGACTCAAAGAATGACTCTCCCACAGAGGGTCCGTCGCTTCATCCATAAAGACGATTACCATCGACCAATGATCTTGAGCAACCTCCCTGCAGATGAAGATGATTGGGTAACACCAGAACCCTTCTATGTTTACTAAGAAAATCATCGCCCCCAATTAGGGAGACATCTTGTATAACATTCTACTGTTAAAATTATGCTACATTTACTATGGCTGGACACCACCTTGTAAGAAGCTAATGTGTCAAGTAATTCTTTATAAACTGGCCAGAAAATTATTGCCTTCATTGTCGTTTAAATATCCGTTGTGCAATCGCAAAAAAAAAAAAAAAAACAATTGCAACTTGTATATTTACTACCAATTCAGAGTCATGTACTTATATATCTGTTATATCTATGTGACTCTGATGGGTTAGTATTATACCCCTTCAAGAATATTTTATTATTCCACATACACCTTTTAAATTACACCAAAGTGGTTGGGCCACTTACCTTTTATATCCTACCTCTCTCCCCCCTCCCACCCTTTTCCAATATTTCTATCCTTACCCATCCTTCTTCCTTACCCATCTTACCAAAGCTCTGGTCATAAGAAGAAGAAGAAGCAGAGGTTTAATGTATTTACCAAGCTCGAGTCACACTTCATTAATTACTATTAAAAATCTCAGCAGATATTCACAGTTCAGTTTAAGCAAATAAATTTTAGAAGCCACTCGTGGCGCAACGATTCATCTAATAAATGTCCTGATGTGTACATAAGTGTCTTTTTTCCATACCTTGTGTTAAAGTTTGGCTTGTTAGGGCAGGCACGACCTAAAAAGTTTTATTACTTTTTTTTATAAAGCTGAAATATAATTTTAAGTATTAAATGAAACAGACAAAAGCTGTTTATGGAAAAAAAACAGTTCTCGCATAAGTATTCTCCTCAAAGATCTTGTTTTAGATACTATTTGTTCCCTTATTTATTGTGTAATACGTTTAGTGGCATAAAAAATGTGTTTATGTTACAGAGTGATGGCGTGGCAGAGCGTGATGGTGGTGGCGTGGGTGATGGTGACAGTGGTGTACGGGGCAGAGGCCCGTGACCCCTTGGTCGTGCAGACGCTGAAGGGAGCAGTGCGAGGTACTACGCTTACCACAGCTAAGGGCCGCCAGGTCGACGCTTGGTATAACATTCCCTTCGCCCAGCCACCCATCGGAGATCTCCGCTTCCGTCATCCACGACCCATCGACCGCTGGCATGGCGTTAAGGATACAACCATGCTACCGAAATCCTGCGTCCAGCTTCCAGACACTTTCTTCGGTGAATTCAATGGCTCAACCATGTGGAATCCCAACACCGAGATGAGCGAGGATTGTCTCTACATCAACGTGGTAGTTCCGAAACCGCGTCCACGGAATGCTGCAGTGATGGTGTGGATATATGGGGGTGGCTTCTACTCAGGCACTTCCACGCTCGATGTTTATGACTACAAAATGTTTGCGGCAGAGCAGCAGGTGATCATGGTGGCACCGCAGTACCGCGTCGCCTCGCTTGGTTTCCTCTACATGATGAACTCTGATGTACCTGGCAATGCTGGCCTCTTCGATCAACTCATGGCGCTGCAGTGGATTCATGATAACATCCGCTTCTTCGGTGGCAATCCTGATAACATTACTCTATTTGGCGAGTCTGCCGGTGCTGTAAGTGTGAGTATGCATCTACTGTCTCCACTCTCCCGCAACCTATACAGTCAGGCTATTATGCAGTCAGGGTCAGCAACTGCACCCTGGGCCATCATCACAAAGGAAGAAAGTGTGCTGCGAGGGTTACGTCTTGCCGAGGCTGTGGGATGCCCACATGACCCTAATAACCTGACCGCTGTTGTTAACTGTCTCCGCGAGACTGATGCCAAGACTCTAGTCCATAATGAACCATCTTCTCATATATGTGAGTTCCCATTCGTGCCCATCATTGACGGCGCTTTTCTTGACGAACGACCCAGCAAATCCCTTAAAGATAAAAACTTCAAGAAGACCAACATCATGATGGGCAGTAACACTGAGGAAGGTTATTGGTTTATCATATATTTTCTCTCAAACATTTTTCGCCTTGAGGAAGAAATCACAGTGACACGGCCAGAATTTGAAAGCTCAGTACGGGAACTCCATCCGTACTTCAACGAAGTAGTTCGCCAAGCCATTATGTTCGAGTACACAGACTGGCTTTCTCCAGACGACGGCGTCATGTACCGCAATGCTATTGACAAGATGGTGGGAGACTATCACTTTACCTGCAACGTCAACGAGTTCGCTTACCACTACGCCTTGGCCGGGAACAATGTCTACATGTATTACTACACGCATCGCTCCTCACAGCACGTCTGGCCTAAGTGGATGGGCGTTCTTCACGGCGACGAGATCAGCTTCCTCTTTGGCCAGCCTCTAAACCCTGAAAAATCATATACGGTGGAGGAACAGGAACTCTCCAGACGAATGATGACTTACTGGGCCAACTTCGCTAAGACTGGGTAGGTGAACGTGCATGGTCATGTATGTGTTCGCTTCCGCATGTGTGTTTGTATGTATGTGAGTGTGTGTGTGCTTTAGTTATCGCTACTTTTAGCATGAATTATAATTTAATATAAGAAAAGGCCACACGATAGTGAACTCATAAATCATTCGTAACCAATTCGAAAGCTCTTTGGAATCACGTATGTCTGATTCGTCGCTATGACTCGGCCTATTTCTCGAAAACTGACTGAAAGATATGGATGAAACTGTGTGATGGGGATTCGAAGAAAATGTTGTAGGTTGCATATCCAAGCATATCTATACACACAAACACAGTAGTATTGTGTTAACACACAAACACAGTAGTATTGCGTTAACACACACAAACACAGTAGTATTGTGTTAACACACACAAACACAGTAGTATTGTGTTAACACACAAACACAGTAGTATTGTGTTAGCACACACAAACACAGTAGTATTGTGTTAACACGAAAACACAGTAGTATTGTCTTAACACACACAAACACAGTAGTATTGTCTTAACACACACAAACACAGTAGTATTGTCTTAACACACAAACACAGTAGTATTGTCTTAACACACACAAACAGAGTAGTATTGTGTTAACACACAAACACAGTAGTTTTGTGTTAACACTCACAAAGACAGTAGTATTGTAAACCAACCATACCCCCAGCCGGGATTGAATCCGCGGTCATAGAGTCTCAGAACTCCAGCCCGTCGCGTAAGCCACTAGTGGCTAACGCGACGGGCTGGAGTTTTGAGACTCTATGACCGCGGGTTCAATCCCGGCCGGGGGTATGGTTTGTTTGCAATCGTGTCATTACGATTTCTTGAGTCAGGACAGTAGTATTGTGTTAACACACAAAAACAGTAGTATTGTGTTAACACACACAAACACAGTAGTATTGTGTTAACACACAAACACAGTAGTATTATGTTAACACACAAACACAGCAGTATTGTCGTGACACATACATAGTTGATTTTTTCCTTACACACACAAACAATGTAATATTGTTGATACACACACACACACACACACACACACACACACACACACACACACACACACACACACACACACATACACACACACACATACACACACACACACACGCACACACACACACACACACGTAGACACACACACACACACACACACACACACACACACACACACACACACACACACACACACACACACACACACACACACACACACATTCAAAGTTGCTTTTCCTTGATACGCACAATCCCAGGAGCGCAGTTAAGACTCCTAAGATGATAAATGGAAGCTGAAGACAAACTGTTCATAAAAACTTCTCCATATAAAGGTGATGTAGAAGTGGTTTAGGAATTATGTTGGTGGAATTTAGGTTTTTCATGGAACTGTAAAACCGCTGTGTAACTGTCATACAGAATAGTGTAGCAGAACATTGCACATGTATCAAATTATGCTAACTAAAAAAAAACTTAGACACACATATTAACACACACACACACTCTCTCTCTCTCTCTTTTTTTTTTCTCTCTCTCTCTCTCTCTCTCTCTCTCTCTCTCTCTCTCTCTCTCTCTCTTTTACACAGGGTTTGACAAGGTTAAGGATCCCTAGTTTTATTGACAAGCTATTTACAGGTTAAGGATTCCTAACTTTATTGACAAGCTAAGAGCTGTTACCTACATCAGCTGATTTGAAAGCATTTTTATTGTTATGAGACATACAAGTAGGGAACAGGATGAAGTTGGAGCCATCTGTGGGCCAGCATTTTCATTTGATCAACTGACGTTATCTCGTTGACATCATTATGCTGTACGAATGTGTTCCATACTCGAGTCATCCTGGGTATATATGATCTCAGATGGAGTGATGTTCTGGAGAAGGGTACAGCCAGAGTGAAGTTGCTGCTTTCTGCCCGTCTTGTGGCATAAAAGCTTGTTTCACGCTGTCCTCGAAGTGGATCAAAGTGTGGTACTTTGACAATATTGGCCTTATACATAACAGTAAGGCCACCCACATCCCTCCTGTGTTGAAGGCTCTGCTGAAATGACAGATCTATCCAGGATGGGTCCAGGCGAGAGATGAGACGTCTTGCTCTGTTCTCCACTCTGTCAAGCAGTCGCAGATGAGAGGGGGGCAGGCAAACCAAGAAAGTGGAGCATACTCAAGGCGTGAGCGTACTTGTGCCTCGTACGGAATCTTGCAACCCCTGCTGTCAAGCAGATGCGAGATACGGCGAAGTGCTGTAAGCTTCCTGGCTGCCTTGTTTGCTAGATTTACAACATGGTTCTTCATGGTTAGTTTAGAGTCAAATTTCACCCCAAGGATATCAACTTCTTCTCCAGGTGCCAACACGCTCGCATTCATCCTTACTACTGCACCAGCATTACCATCATGGTGCCTAGAGACGACCATCATTTGCGTTTTCTCAGGTGCAAATGTTACTTGCCATCTATTTCCCCAAGCTGATATAGCTCTTAGCTGGTGATTGATGTAGCTTAGAGCAGCTGGCATTTCTTCTCTTGGATAAGTGAATGTCAGTGTACAGTCATCTGTATATGCATGTGATTCTGGGATGAGATGAAGAAGGCCGTTGAAGTAGACATTCCGTAACAATGGTCCCAGCACGCTTCCTTGTGGAACACTTGCCCCAATAGGATGTCTTGCTGATTCCGTTCCATTGAGAACTACACTTTGAGATCTACCATGAAGGTAATCACTGAGGAGACATAGCGTAGAGCCTGCAATTCCTAATGCTTGAAGTTTTGTTAAGAGGCCCTGGTGCCACACCCGATCGAAAGCGCCAGCAATGTCCAGTGCTACCTCACAGCTGACTTTGGATTCATCCAGTGACTTGTGCCACTTAGTGGAGAGGTTTACCAACAGATCAGCAGCAGAGTAACCTTTCCTGACGCCATATTGACGATCACAAAGTAGTGAGTGGTAGTCAAAAAACTCTGCCATTTGTCTTGAGATTATTGTTTCAAGGATCTTACCAGTGATTGACAAGAGTGACACTGGTCTGTAGTTGCTGATTTCTGCTCTGCTCTTCTTTTTGTGAACAGGAACTACATTTGCCTCTTTCCACAGAGAGCCATTTACACTGTACTAGGCAGTGCTGAAAGATGCGAGTTAGAGGTGCTGCTAGCTGGTCTGCACATCTCAGCAATCTTGGGCTCAACTTGTCTGGGCCCACAGCCTTTTCTTGGTCAAGCGATTTAAGAAGGAAATGCACCTCCTCCTCTCTCTCTCTCTCTCTCTCTCTCTCTCCTCTCTCTCTCTCTCTCTCTCTCGTTACCTTTCTCTCTCTCACTCTCTTCCCATCTTTCCCCTCCCTCTGCTCTATCTCTATCTCTTCCTTTCTATCTTCTCTCTCCCCTCCTCACACACACCTTTCATTCATCTTCCCTTCCCTCCCTTGGCCTCCCCTAACTCCCCTAACTCCCCTTCCTCCCCACTCCCCTCCCAGCATTCTCTCTCCCTCTCTCTCTAACTCTCTTTCTCCCTCCCTCTCACACACAAGCTCCTTTCCGTGGTAAAAAAAAATGGGTAACCCAAGAGGGCGTCGACCCAGGGGTCTGGAGGTCAAACCCAGGAGGGAGGAACCTGGGAGGGAAGAATGGGAGGTAGAGCTCACAAAACTGGAGGAAGAGTGGGGAAGGAAGCTAGCTGAGCTCGGCAGGCTAATGGAGGAGAGGATAGCTGAAGAGAGCAGGAACTGAGGACTACAAGTCCTAGCAGCAGAAGATAAGATAAAGTGGTTAGAAGAGGAGCTAAAAAACCTGAAACAGAATAGAGAGACACATGATAGCACAGGAATGACATCAGGGACTTCTATACAAGTCACAGACGAGGGGGCTGCAGGGATTCAGGAAAAGATGAGTACAGGAAGACCAATCGTGAAGCCTGCAGTCAATGCAGGAGACAAGACTTGTGCAGAGGCTCTAACAGTCAACTACAATGGCAAGGAACAGCTGAGCAGGGAAGACAGTCCACTGAGCATAGGGGCTGCAGCAATGGCAGGGGTTGAAGGCAGGAACATCTCTAGGGAAGGAGATAAAACACCTCAGAGGACACAAAGAGAGACACAGTGGGAGGAGGAGAGAGAGAGGTCAGTGTTTGTCTACGGGCTCCAAGAAGTTGAAGGGGAAACCTATGATGAAAGAATCCAGGGGGAGAAGAAAGCGATCGAAGGTATCTTGAAAGCAATAGGAGAGGGAGACATGACTCAGGTAGCAAATTTTCGGAGAATTGGGTGGTTTGCACGCAGAAGGAGATGGCCTGTCAAAGTAGTCTTCAAGGCAGAATCAGCTCGAACCAGGGTCCTGCAGGAGAAAGCACAACTGAGGGACAAATCAGAGTACCAGAGCGTGTACCTCGATTGCAAAGGAGGAAAGGACGAGACTGAGAGAGAGGGTACGAAAACGAAAGGAGGAATGGGAGGCATCGATGAGGACGAGCAGAACCCAGACTCAGGTGGAAGGACAAATACACCCTACAGAGACACCCACAGAAGGACTCCAACCACAACAACCCCGAAGCAACTGAACAACCTCAACCAAAACCCACACACTATTTCCTCTTCCCCCCCCCCCCACCACAAACTCCACCCACACTGTGAAAACCCCAATGCAGCTGAACAATCTCAACCAACACCCACACACTGTTCCCTCTGCCCCCGCCCCCCACATCACAAACCCTACTGCCACAGCAGCTCCTCACCCCCCCCACAAATCCCACCCACACCACAAACCCCATAACTCCCCCCAGGACTCCCACTCCCCTATCCCAATATTCTCCCAGGTCCACCATGATAGACAAGAAGCTGAAGGTGTGGTACACAAACGTAGATGGAATAGCAAATAAATACGGGGAATAGCACAAAAGAATCAACGAGAAGTCCCCGGACATCATAGCAGTCACAGAAACGAAACTCACTGAGACAATAACAGGCGCAATTCTTCCCACCGGGATATCAGATCATGAGGAA